ACCACCAATAGGAAAATTGTAGTGATGCCAAAAGATTAAGACAGCTCAGTGTCACAAAGAGCCTATTGGTCCTGGGATAATGAAGATGCTAACCAACTCCATCACCACAAGGATTTGTCCAGCCAACTTTCCTCTTACCCCACTCTGGCCTTAACACCTGCGGCCACTCATTTGTTCTCTGTTTCCGTAGTTTTGCCATTTCAGGACTGACATTTCAATGGAATCAGGAGATACGACCTTTTGAGATCGGCTTTTGTCACTCGGCATGAATCTCTGATGATTTGTCTAGTTTGTCACTTGTACCAATTATTCTTTTGTTTTTATTCCTGAGCAATTTTCCAAGACAAGGAGGAACCACAGTTTAACCCTTCCGCTGCTAAATGGCATCTAGGTTGGTTCTGGTTGTTGGTTATTAGAAATAAAGCTACTATAGATATTTGTGTATGAGTTTTACCGTGAATGTTAGTTTCCATGAATGCCCAGGGACCCAGGTTCCTTATTCAGCCTCTGCCTACCTTCAGGTTGGTGGGAGGGGTTCTCTGCTGCTAGGCAGGGTGAGGAGTTCCAGCTTCCCGCAAGGCTTGCATTCGAAACTCGGTGCCTGGGACCAGTGAGAGTGCTTGCCTGACTCCTATATGGCCTCCACTAGTCACTCTCTTCATGCCACTCCTGCCCCGTGTGCCTCTGGACAGTTAGGCAGACTCCTCACCACCCAGGGGGGTGAACTCAGCTTTCGCTGACATTTCCTGAAAGGTAGAGTGAGTGCTTCGTCACAGGCTGTCTTGGTTGAAAGCTCTCCACTCGCCACACTTTGTGGGTGTGGGCGAGGTCCCCATGTTTTCTGTTGTGATTGGCTGGAGCAGAGTTGTTCTTATCTGAAAGTTTTCTATCTTGATAGGCTTCTACTCCTTTGGTCTTTTGGCTGGATAGTCTAGGATTTTTTTTCAGCCTGGGATTGGGGGCATTTTCCTGTCTATCTCAGTTACTCCATCTACATTGGTGGTTTCTTCAGCTCCATATCTGAAATATACAAGGTAAAAAGAAAACTAGGAAACACAAATGTAATGTTCCTTGGGTCCATAGATCTCTTGCTAGTCTGCTTCTTTCTCTTTGAATTTTATGCTTGTCTCATGTGTAAAAGTCCAAGTCTAGATTTACATAATGGGAAGAATTAACAAAAATACATCTACTCCCTGTTTCTGGAAGCGGACGTCCACCTCCACATTTTTTAAGGAGTGAAATCCAGCCTGCTGTCTGCCTGGCATTCAAGTGGCCCAATTTACATACAAATGATGTTTCTTCATTACCCTATTGAGGAGGACCTTTCGCTTACTTTAAAAATGATTTATGATTCCTACTTTTAGATTTTCATCTTATTTTATTTTTTGGTTTATTGATTGCTTGATTGGTTCTCTGCGCCTTACTCAGAAATGCTTCTGTTGTTGCTCTTCTCCTCATTGAAGCAAACTTTACTGGTGTGTCAAAGCCAGCAAAGTCACACTGCTTCTTCAGCTGAGAAGAAGCTTCTACCCTGAGAACCGTCCATTTTGCCTTTCCTCACAAACACTATTACCTAGTGATCTTATGTTACTTGGTGACTTTTGCTATGTAGTGATTTTCCCACCACCTCTTTGACCCCAGGGGTAGAAATTCTGCTTTATGGCTTTTGTAACATTCAGTGTTTTATTTAAAATATTTCCTTAAATCCTCTTTTGTCTTCATATGAAAGGTGGAAGTAGTTTCTGAACCGTGTTTCAAATAACCTTCTAAACATATTGGATCTTCTTAAAAATAAATCTGGAATTATCAGGATAACATTAATCTAGTGCCCAGAACTTCCCAGTATCTAAAGACTTTAAAAGTCACTGTCTTTTAGTTAATGATTGCATTTTATAGATTAGAATCTGGAAGTTTAGATAAAATTAGTCAGAAAGTAAAAGGAGCAGGCACTGGCAATCAGCTTTAGTTACAGGGACCATATGATGTCAACTCACACAGGCCTATATCTAGTAATTGAAACACATAATGAAAACCTCTTATAGCGTATGGTTAGCTTCTACATAAATAAGGTTCTTGGTAATAATTTTGCAATTATTAAGCAGATCTTAAAGCATATTTGCTACTTTGAGTATCTGATGATTTACTCTTGTGCTATTTAAAATTTTATGTTCTTGCCAATCTTTTAAATTTAGAACAGTCTTCCAGGTTGTAATAATAAGAGAAAACTTAAGGATTACTTACTTTTATGCAGTAGAAAATTTGGACAATTTAGAATGGAAACCGGATTACAAAGGAGGATCTGTTATTTTAATGAGAGATTTTAAAGGGGAAAGAAAAGACAACTTGCAATACAGATGTTTTTAAAACCTCAAACATAAATTCTGTTTTCATTCTTAATTTATATTACTTTCAAGAATTAGCTCCTTTTCTCGAAAGTTATATTTGTTTCAGCAAACACTTCCTATGTCACATTTTCTTTTGAAAGTTATAATTTCCCAGACTTAGCTGAGACAACCAAACTTTCCCAAGTTATTGAAGTGTTTTCAAATAAATACATTTTGGGGAATCTCTCATATACTGCTTGGGTTTGGAAACAGCCATAAAGGAAAACCTAGGGCAGTGCTTAAAAATAACAATAAGAACTCCTTGGGCTGGGGATTTAGCTCAGTGGTTTCGCCGCCTGCTGCGCAAGCACAGGGACCTGAGTTCGATCCCCAGTACCAAAAAAAATATCCAGAACTCCTTATAATTCCACAGTGCTTTACAATTAACAAAAGCCATCTATGTGTTATTTCATTTAATATGACTTGGAAAAAAATCCTGTAAATTAAGCACTATACTTGTCATTTTATAAACAGCAACATTCACTGCAAATCCCTTTCTTGGCTATGAGTGAATTTTCTGTGTGTCTTAGTCCCTTTTCGTGTATGATGCCTTCATCATGGACCTATGAATCCTTATGACATTTGTACACTGATTTGGGGCAAACACATTAAAGATGTCACACAATTAATTTCTGTTTCACATGGCCATTATCCCTGGCCAACAATACATGTGTGATTAATTACCCACGGTGCTCCTCCTGTCCCAGATGTCACCTGATGCCTCAGTGAGAAAGGGTCACTGGCCGTGGACCACCCATTTCCTGGTCCTGTACCATACAGTTGAAAATCTCTCCAGATTCTAAAGTCTATTCCTGTTTTGTCAATAATTGCATAATTAGAATCTAAGTAAACATTAAGTTCATGTGTGTTTAACAAGCAACTAGGAAATAATACAAGGTGAGAGTCTGATCTCAAATCTTCCATATAAATTTTAGAACTTTTCATGCTTCATCAAGAAGCTTACATGCCCAAAGAAGCCCTATCTGTGCAGACTGCGTGCCTTAATGGCAAGAATCTTTAAATGAACTTCGTCATGACAGAGCTTTACCCTACACCCATCTTATCCGGCACTTCCTGTGCATGCTATTAGATGATGTTTCCCTGCTCGACTCCCACTGGGTGACAGCCGTGTTACTGACTCAGGGAATGTGAACAAAGTGAAGGCCTTTCCCCACCCCAGGTAGGCCCACAAAGTCCTCCCAGCATCTCTTTCTTCCCTCCTCATTGCCTAGAATGCTGATGGCTCCACTGTTACCTTGGAAGCCGTACCAAGGATGACAGAGTCCAACACCAGAGTCCAAATGTCTATGGAGAAAGGTTATCTCATCAACTTGCTCACCTACCCCACACCACTACCACGTGAGCAAGACACGCTTGCATTGAGTTTCACTGCTTATACATTTTGCATTTTCTTGTTACAGTCAAGGATGGGTTCAGATTCTGTTAACATTAACCTTAGAGAAAGATCATTTTGTTAAAAAGAATATAAATTACAAACACAAAGTCCATATAAATGAACTTGTCTTAGAATAAGACTTTTTAAATCCCGAGAAATTAAAGAAGACTTAGAAATTTAAGTCCCTTTCTTCTAAGAAATCTTTAGGCAATTTCCAGGTTGCATCCTGTCTTGCTTACTGTCCAAAACACCTTCAAACCATCAGCGACTCAAAGAGCTCACAGGTCCTGAATGAGAGGATTGGGGGTTACGATTCCTCAGCAGCCTCAGAGTCAACATGAGCTTGGTTACATCAATCACCTTATCCTATTGTGTCAATACAAGTATCTCTTGGGCTAAGATAAGGCTAAATGGTATGTGCAATGATTAAAATCCAGGAAGTCTGGTGGTTACAGAAATCAGTGATACCCTCTTAAGATAAAGGAAGACAATAGTTTGATTGGTCTGAGCTTCGCTACATAGATGAATTAATTTTGCAAATCTTTCTCAATTTTTTAGTAAAAGATGGTTCACTCAGAGGGCACTGCTAATACTCTTGTCATCTGTGGTATCCTTTACCCCTTTATGCCTTTTAACACCAAAGAGAGTCACATTTCATACTTTTTTCTTTAAATACCTGAGAAATAATTTTATGGGTTTTTTTATTTTTATTTTTATTTTATTTTATTTTATTTGGTACCAAGGACTGAACTCAGGTCCTTGTGCTTGCGAGGAGTTTTATGTTTTTAAACTTGCCCTACTGGCCATCAAAGATGGTATTTTAAATATTCCTATGAGCCAAATCTGTCAATTGTTTACAACCCCTTTTACATTTCCTATTCTTATATTTTGAAAATTACTCAGTAGTTTTCAGTGTAACCTAGAATTGAAGGCATGAAAATCTTAGCGACTCTCAGAAAGTGTAAAATAACGCAGCATCCACTCAGATGACGCCATTCGCGATACCCGTGTGGTGAGCCAGCCAGCAATGCCCTGCACTGGTTTGCAGTACCCTCCAAGAGTGAGCCTTCCCGTGCTGGGCATCCGCCTTGAACTTGGTCTGATTCTGCCCCAGATCCTGGTCCCTCTGACCAGGTCTCCCTGCGGGGTCCACTTCCTGGACCCCTCGGCAAATGCTCAGACCATGACCCTTCCTGAACCATGGAGAGCTCTGAACTCACCCAATCTAGGAGAAAGAAGCTGACAGTCCTCTCAACCAAGGCTGGATCCCGCCTCCTCCTCGTCTTGCTTCCCAGGGAGCCCTGAGCAGAAAACCAACCTCTCCGGCCAAGGCGTTTTCCCTGACCCTCTGCTCTCATTTTCCCTCTGCTCTCAGGCCCTAGACTTTCCCCTCCCCTCCCAGACCCCAGCAGAAATCTTCGTCTTGAAAGACTGTCCTCCTATTAATCATAGGCCAGAAAAATAGGACAAAGGAGGGATGACAGGATGACAAACCCTGTTTCCCTTCAGAGACCTTTTCCCTAGAAATGGTTCATTACCCAGAGAGAAAACAATCCGCAGGATCAACTTGAGGACTGGAATGTATCGTCCTCAGCAGCGGCAGCACTGCACTACGGTGCCCCCTTGGGGTCTTCTGTGGTACTGCGCACATTCCCTGGTTCACTGAAACAAGGTTCCAAGTGACGAAGACTCCTTGAACCTGTCTGTAACTCAGTACCCACTAACCAGCCTCTTCCCCTTCCCCGTTCTCCTCTAGTCTGCAAACCATTAGTTTAATATTAAAAGACACAGTTCAATGTATTCTGATCAGGAAAAACTTGGCTCAGAAATTTGACTCAGTCGTCACATATTTTCAATGTACGTCTACCTGAAGACGAAGCACACTTCTGCCATCAAACCTGATGCACTGTTACATTTTCACAGCTAAAAGCACAGAGAAACAAGAATTAAGAATGGAAATTTTTAAAAATGAGAGAATTTTGTGTAAAGTAGCTTCGTGTATTTTGAAACGAATCGAGACACACTGTATCGTAAACTTTTGTAGTTATTTTCTTAAAATTAACAAAATTTTTTATTAAATTGAAGAACTTAGAGCCTCCAGAAACAAAAAAAAGTGAATAACAGATTTTTTTAAAAGTTTAACAAACTTCCAATTAATCTTTTACTCATAATATCTGGAAAATACACCAGTAACTTGTCACATAGAGTTAGTAATTCTTTAAAGATACTTTTCATCAGACACACAAGCTTAACGATCATGGGTTTCTCCTATATGGAAAATACAAAAACATGAATAAACAGCAAAGTAGAAGATTGATAACAGGAAGTAGGGAGATCTTTTTCAAATGGGAGGGGGAGCAAGCAATAGGGGGCCAGGACAGGGTGGAAAAAAGAATTTTAAAAAATGGAAAGAGAGCTTTTGGGAATGCGAAGGGGACCGATTGTTGAAAGAGCAGCGAGGGACTGGAGGGAGAGGAAACAAAAAAAGGATTAAGATGTGTCGTGTGTAAGTACCCACTCTCCACTTTAAATATAATTATTAGGTACTGCAAACACAAAATAAAATAAATAGATAAATACTTTTCAAGAGATTTATCCTCCAAAAACATGTCAAGTCAACAAAAGTCTTTTAAAATTTCTTCTGTACTATGCTTGATTTTGCTTAGACACTCGAGATACATGAATATTTGAGAGAGAACGTGAAAAGCAAATGTACCAGAGTGTACCCTGGCATTTCAGGTACAAAGCACTGAAGAATCCCCAGCCTAGGTGTTCTGTCCAACTCTGACAAGAGTTTTCATTTCAAAGCTGCTGGTAGTTGATCTTTCCTGGATATTTGAAAAACAATTTTGTTTAATTCACTGTAAATCTTCATGGAGGGAACAGCATTTAGAGTACAGCTCAATATATTCATTTTTATTTAGCTGAAAAAAATTTCCTGAAAAAGCACTTACTCCGAGTTTGAGAAGAACAGTATAGCTATTGAATAAGAAGCTAAGTATGATTTCCTTCATCAGCGTATTCATCAGAATTGAGAACTAAAGGGGTGGTGAGTAAATTAAAATTTAGTGTTGTCACCTAAGTTATAAGTTTGACACTTGATGGAAAAATAAGACAAGTAAATAGTCTAGTGAAAAACCCATTTTCTTAAGTTTTTCCTACAATTTGAAGAGTGTTTCTGTTCTTTAAAATTAATTTTTAAACAACAGGATACATGACTTATTAACTATTGCTATTCTCTTATTATTTTGTTATGAAATTTTGTTTTTTTATAAATTAAAAAAAATTTAATCTTTAAAAAAATTGTAAAGCATATGAGATTCCTGCTGGTTACAGTGGCATATGCCTGTAATCCCAGCAGTTGAGAGGCTGAGGCAGGAGAATCACCTTGAGTTCAAAGCCAGCCTAGGCTACAGAGGGAATTCCAGGCCAGCCTGAACAACATAGTGAGACCCTATCTCAAAACACTTGTATACATAAAAGCATATGAGATTCCTGGTTATATTTTTCAGGAGATTCAAAGTTGTGTAAAACAAATAATTGAGCTTAGAAAAAAGTCTAGCTTTTAAAAATAAAAGACACCACTTTTTAACTCAAAAAATATTAAAATATAAGGTTGGATTGTGGCATTGCTTAACAGTTTCAGTGTAAATCATATTAGTCGAAATGAATGTCATCCTTTGCAATAGGTATAAGTCTGAGTTTGTTAGGATTCTTGAAGTATTCTGAGGATGATGGTGTTTTGGTTGCTTTGTGATCAATTTATTAAACTATATAACTAAAGTTTCGTTGTCAATCAGGTCTAATTAAAGATATACCCACATTACTCATAAAGAAGCTATTTAGAAGTTTTTACCAGAATCAGAACAATGTTCTTCTTTTTACCAGGCTATCATTAATTATTTGAATCTTTTCAAGACCAGTAAAATAAATATTCAGAATTCAATGAGATAGTCATCAATGGAATTGTGATTTTTTTCTAAATTCCTATGCAAGTTCATATATGTCATATACTGATAAGAACAGATACTACACTTGATCTTAGCCAAAAGGCTGAGAAGTAATATATATGTCATATACGAATGCTATATCACTCAGTCTTGTTCTTCAGCTTTTTTCTACCATGTCCTGTTAATTTAATTTCAGAATTCTGAGTAGATGAGGTACTATCATATCAAAGAGGTGGAAGAAAAAAGGCTCGTCTGTGGCCAAATGCTTATTAGACTTGGTAATAACTTCCTCAAAATGAAATGGAAACTTCACTCGTCATCACTGTTTTTATAGCCTAGGTAGGATGGTCACCAATTCTAACTTACTTCCTTGTGGCATTTAATAATAATATTCTATTTAAAATTGAAAAATAATTATGCCTAATTCTTGTACAGAGAGGAAAAATGGAAAATACTCGGATTATTTCAAGTTTCTATTTCTGTACCCTATAAATTGGATGCATTTCCTTAGCAGAATATAAACTTCAGTCCCTTGTACAGCATGCCCAAGAAACAAGAGTTTGCCAAATTCATCCTTCCCAGATGAAGTAAAGATTATCACATGGCAACCACTAAAGGGTTTGGGGCTGTAAGGCAGGTTTAGTCAAGGATCCCCTGGATCGCTGGGCCAAATCTCTCTGAAGTCCACCCACACTCATTCCTTTAGCATTTCACAATTTCTCCAAATGGTTATTGTTTCTCTTATTAAACTTATTCTTATTTGGAAAATCTTAGATGATGGTTTTAATTCCTACATTCAAACTTTCCCTTTCCAATAACTAAGATATGCTTTATTTTTAAATCATTTTATAAATAACAAAAGAAAGATGTGATTCAATAGAACATTATTTCATTAAAATGGATGCGTGGAAAATAAAAACAGCTTCACTGTTTACAGTGTGATTTCTTCCTGAATCCATTCCAAACTCACCTAACAATCAAACCTACCTTCTGCTATTTATTTTTCCTCTGATAGTGTGATAAATACTTTAAGCTTTGGTCATTATTTTTCAGTCAGTTGTCACTAACTCTTATTCTAACAGTAAGAAAATATTGGATTTGCAGATATTATCAGGCTGCCAAGGTCAAGTTCGTATCATAGACTCACCTTGACCTTGGAGGAAGTGAATGGCAGAGGAGGGATGTTGTAAAGGTTAGATCTGAAATATCCCCAAGTCTCATGTATTCAGAAGTGGGGCTTTTGGGAGGTGAGTGGATCATAAAGGCATATACTCATCAGCAGATTAATCCATTAATGAATTCTGTCTTAGTTACTTTTCTTGTTGCGGAGACAAAGTACCTGACTCACAAGTTGAAGGAAGAAAGATTTATTTCAGCTCACAGTTTACAGAGGTTTCAGTCCATAGCCAGCTGGTTCCAAGGCGGGGTGGCCTAGCAGAGGGGAAACAGTCTATGGCAGGGTAGGCAAGAAGCAGCAAGCAGTGAGCCTCCCTTTCCCTTTTATCTAATCCAGATGACAAGCCTACTGGCTGCTGCCACCCACACCCAAGGTGGGCCTTCCCATTATACACACCCAGAAGTATGCTATCAGTGAACTAATGTAGTTATCACAAACCTTTAATCCATATTCACACCCCCTAAATACAGCCTTATCCCAAAAGCCCCACCTATGAGTGTGTGAGGGACTAGGGGGACATTTAGATACAAGCCACAAAAAGTTCACAGCTGAAGATGTCCATGGTTCTTAGGAGAAGGGCCCAGTCGGAAGAGATGGGTCCCTGCGGGCATGACCTGAGAGGGTGTACTCTTGTACCAAGCTCCTTCTTTTTCTCATCTGCTTCCTAGGTGCCTGGGTTGAGCAGATCCCCTCTGCCATACCCTTTAACTATGCCATTTCTGCCTTGGAACCAACCAATCATTGAGTGAACCCTCTGAAGTTATGAGACAAAATGAACTGCTTTAGGTTGTGGTTGCCACATATGTTATCCTAGTGACAGGAAAGTGACTAATTCAGATATCAAAGTTGAAAAAGACATACAAATCTGAATGAACCACTATAGTCACCACAAATTATAGAAACTCAAAAATTTTAGCACACAATTTATTTCCAAGATAGAACCAAGCAAAATAATCCAGCAACTAAAATGAGATGACACAAAACAAGTTTACATGTCTAAAAACTGAAATCACCACTTCATATTTTTTACAAAAAAGAAGATGCCTCTTTTGTTCACTATGTATACATATAGTCAGAGTTTATTAAGTTTCTGGTCATGTTCTATGTCTTTGGCATATATTAGGGACAAAAAAGAAAAAAAGGTCTGTACTTTTGTGGGAGAAGATGGGTGATTTAACAGTTAATCTTGTAAAGAAATCATGTAGTATTTCAGACAATGAAACTTGTATGGAAAAAGTAGAAAGCTATAAAGTAAATGAACAATAGGTTGTGTGATGTGAAGTAGGCTAATCAGGATAGATTTTCTTGAAAAGATGACACTGATTTAGGAAA